GAATTAATCTATGGGAGAATGTTGGAACACAGTCTTTCTGCAATTAGACACATGTAAATAATGCATTTTCCCTTTTTGTTGCTGTGATCAAAATGCTGAACGTATTCCATATTCTTTCTACCTACAGAACTGTACAAACTCTTTGGTTTGATCCCAAGTATTTCGCATAGTGTGAAAAAATTACTGCAGGTTTTTCCTTACCATTTGTCATCCGTTTAATCCTCTGCTCCTTTTCACTTAACTTTTAATGCAAAAAAAAAAAAAAGAAAAAGAGAAAAGTAGTGATTTAAAAATTTCAAAATAGAACAATTCTACTTCTTTTTATTCTGTTCTCCTGTTTTTTTACATGGTAAAATTATTACTAGTCTTTGGTACAGCAGAAACAATTTTGGTGAACCTGCTATTCTCTAGAAATTAAGTTGTGTGCTGCTGTCTAGAGTTGTACTTGTCAGAATTTTACCCGGTATAGATAGTTACTAGCTCACATTTTTTGGAAGTGCTCTGAGGTAATAAGACAAGAAAATCTCTCTTTTCTTTTCAAGTGCTAGCTTTCTTTTTGATGGATAATTTTTACCTGTTGTAGATAGGAAGATTTTTCTCATGCTCTGTAATAACCTGACTTCAGTTAGATGAGATTTGTTTTAAGTATGTTGCACATTTATTAGCATATATCATGACTCTCTGTGGGAAACAGTTTTTATTTTACAACCACATTTATCTGTTCTGGCAACCTGGTATTACCAATATTTTAAAATTTCTTCGACTTACTTTATGTAGCAGATGCTGAAATACTGAGACAGACTAGAGAAAATGTTGCAATATTTACAAATTGTTTGTAAAAGTATGCTGTTTTATAGCAAATAATTTTGACTAACTACAGAGGAGTAGGCTGTTGATCACTTATAAGAAATACAAGGAATTTACCATACAAGTTTCAGGAATATTTTAGTACTTTTTCTGCTAATTCTGCCAAAATAATTCTAAGAACCTGAGTAAGATTACTAATACTTTTAAAGTAATACTTCACAATGAATTTTTTTCTAGATATTGTCTGAGTGTGGCTGATATTGAGTTTATTTAAAGTTATTATGAAACTACTCCAGGCCTCTGGAAGGCAAACAAGGGGAAACAACTCACATTTTTGCCCACTTTAGAAAAGAATGAGGAAATTTATGTTGCTGAGATTTCATTTAGAATGTCTAATAACTTTCAGAGTTATTAACAAGTATCTTATAAAGAGAAGATCTGGTTTGGAGGGCTGCAGGCACAAACCTAGTTGCTCAAACTTGTGATAGGAAGGAGACTCAGTTTGGTTCCATTTGAGGGAGAAATGAGTGGGCTGGGTTTTTTTTCTTTGTAGTAAAAACTCCTGTTGAAAAATTGGTAGTGGTTGCAAATGTAGATGTGAGAGAGCTAAGAAAAACCCTCAGAATTTGAGTTAACTGTGTAAACTTTGTTATGTTTTTAGGTATTATTGCAGTGTCATTACAAATACGATTCTTCATAACATTTTTCTGATATTTTTCAATGGATGCTTATGACTGCATCAGAAGACCAACAGTGTTTTGTTCATATACCTGTTGTCCAAACAGAACCTACCTTATTAATTCCCATATGTGGAAGGTACTTGGTGCAGGTTGTTAAGTGGTCACAAGGATGAATGCCTGCTTTGAATTCCCTCCCTGCCTCTGCCACCAGAGTTGCTGTGGGATGCCAAGTAAATCACATAAACTGGCAGAGTCTCATTTAGTCATTAATCATGTATTGCTGATTTCATGAATGCCCAAACTAAAGCACCTCTGGCCAAAACTTTGATAAAGTGTTCACCACTGCAGTAGGATATAATGGGAACAGTGCTTTAAGTGCAATAAAACTGTTAAATAGACTTGACATTGAGAAGTGTCAAGATAGGCACCCAGAATTACTCTTAGTCTCTCTTTGGTCTCCACTTTCTCACCTGAAAATAATAGTCTAACCTAATCTTGCAAAGATTATGAAGAAGAGCATTAATAATATTTGCATTTGCAGGGCAGTAGGTGCCATTGTGGTGAGTGATGAATGATGCACTTATACTGGAAACCTGTTTGCCTTTTGTAGTTATATATTTAGGCTGACCCTGCAGAAAGCTTTGTTTTTTCTCTTATTTAAATTACTGTAAAATCAAGATCTTAGGACAGTGGTCAAACAGCCTGTGGGAAAATAAATAAAAATTCGACATTGTTGTTCAGTCCAATGCAGTTTTAAAGTAACACTACCCACTTGTCTTTTGAAATGCAAGTAGGAAGCAAACGAATTATTGTAAACAAATCTCATGTCTTAATTGTCATTCTGTTTTACTTAAGTTCCTCTTTGGAGCAGAATATAAAAACTTTATTACTTTTGACGCAAAATCTTCTTATAAACTAAGGAAATAATATAGTCCCTATCTGATGGCTTTGGAAGTAAGATATGGTCAAAATAAGCCCAAACACATTAAAGAAACATCAGTGTGTGAAAGTTAGGGGCTTCAGTTTCAAACTTATAGGTGCCAACCTGTAGACTGAATTCTGGACCAAGCTCCTCACTTTGTGATGGCACCTAATGTGACCAGAATGTGCCATCCAAAGAGCTAGCCAGGTAGGCAGAGTGTCACAGACTGTTCCCTGTGGTAGCCCTCTGCTGACCAAGAGGGAATTTCTGAGGCCGGGGTAGGGCTGCAGTGGTGTGTCCAAGGTTCTCCATACATTTCATGCTCGGTGGTTGCTGGGTGAAAGGCAGAAGCAAGACCCAGTGTTTGAAGATGGTTGACTGCTTTGACAATATCTATTGCCTCAAAGCCCCTGAGAGACCTGGACAAAGGTGTGGGTAGTTTCTGAACTGTGTTCCAGCTTACAGGTGACCTTGGTGTGAGCCATGGAGGCCTGGCAGTCCAGAGCTATTCTGGGCAGGCAGAGGGGCACATAGGGAAACTTTATGGGCAAAATAAAACTACATTCAGCATTAGGCAGGAGACAAATGAGAGTTTGCAGCATTGCAGCTTTTGTACCTTGGCTCCATCTCAGACACCATTAAATGCCTTTTCTATATTTGCCAGGAGACATTCATTGTAATGCAGTAAGTTGAACCTTGATTTTTCTTATATTTCCTTATTATTTTCTTCCCTTCTGTTGTCCTTTTTCTTATTATGGACAGATTTGGCCACTGTCAAATTGAATGATATTTTTGCATACTTGGTTGACTCTTTTTTTCCCTAATTTGCTGATACAGTCAACTGTGCCAGTAAAGCAATTATGCAAAATTGTGTATAAAGGTTTAATGATACAAAACAGTGTTCATCACAAATCTAATTGTGATTCTTAACATCCTTCCATAAACTCTGTGGTTAATACGTGTTTTGTTTTAAAACCTGTATTTAGTTTAACAGATAAGGGAACATTTCAATGTACACGTTACTGTTAACTTTGAAAGGAAGCAATAAATAAAAATAGTATTTGGAGGAGTGCAGATGATGATCTATGTGCTTTCAGGTAGTGATTATAAGGAGTCTGCTTTATTACATATCTCATCAGGTTACACCATTACCTATTTTATGTTATGAATGATAACTATATGGTTGATTGTACATTGAGTCTAATACAACACAAAGATTAAATATGAAGATAGACATTGTAATGAAGCAAATAATGTGTCTCCATACTGAAACTCAAGAGGCAGTGGGTTTAAAGAGAATTGCAGGTACACTGTATTTAGGCTTGATATCTGGTTTCCACTTGGATAGCTGAACTGCTTCAGGAAAAGAGCAGTAAAGCAATACTTGGTAATACTTTCACTGAAGCCAAAAATCCCATTGGCTTTTCTTAATCCAGAGTAGAGCATTTAGAAACATTCCAAAGCTGATATTTCTCCTTCATGTTTGCATTGATACTTTCTGATTTCTGCACTACTGCTTTCCTTGGGAGCCCTGGCTGGTATTTAATCCTACCACAGAAAGTACTGGCGAGTCAGATATTATTATTAGGATCGACCTTTGGGACAGTCTCATTTACATCAGGTCATTATGAACTGCAGGGAGAGACCTTCTGTCACAGTCACTGGAGACAAAGGACATGCTGCTTCCATCAGGCAGGGTATGAGGAGAGAGAACAAAAAGTGGTTCTCCTTTCTGTCCCCATCTCGATTAGCAGTTGTAGGCTCTGTGTCATCTTTGCATGAAGGAATTGCTACAGACTGTAAGGACAAGGAAGAAGTAATAACCTGGCAGTAATTTCTGCTATGTCCCTAATCAGGGTCACACTTAAATGCTGAATTATGAAGGTGAGTTCTGTTCACTTGGTTCACTCCAGGTATTAAAATGTGTGAGCTGTGTTGTACTGAACAGAGCAGTCTGTGGCTTATACAAACAGCTTTAATTTACTGCTTTCTGGAAACAGAAGCCTGAAGCAGTCATGGAGGTTTCAGGAATGTTAATTGTTTGTGTACATGAATGAGGTTAGAAATGGTCGTTTTTGCAGTCTTCCCATAGCTCATCGAGGGTAACAGTGTCACTGCTGGAGAGGAGAAAAGAGAACGATTATTTTTTTTCTTCACAGTCTACTAATATTTCCAGGGCTTGATATAATGTGCCTTTAACAAACCATGAACTTCTCTCCTACTGAGTCACTGCATCCTGCCTACATTCAGTGTAGGCAGAGAACCATTATACTAATCCACTCGTCCATCATATCTCTAACAAACACATGTATTTTCTTCGAATATTTATTTTGATACAAGGAGTGCAAGTTTCTTTACTTGGCAACACAAATAAGTAGGAGATTGTGACTTCTCAACTTTGTAACTTTAATTGTGGTAGTTCTGGTTTTCAACTATGATATGACTTGACAAATGTATGACAATCATATTTGGCTTTAAGGGAATAATCCTGCCACCTTATAGCAACCACAGAGTAATTAATTCACCTCTTCTGGTAGGATAGGTGTAAAAGGCAGATGCTGAAATTGGACTTTTGCTTTGTTTTTTAACAGGTACGGTTATATGCAAGGCCTGATGCAATCCGAAGAGGATCAGGGGACTATGCTCTAAATATTACAAGGAGACTCATTGAGTTTTATGAAGATTATTTTAAAGTGCCCTATTCCCTGCCAAAATTGGGTAAGATTTCCCAAATAATGTGAAGTTAACCCAGAAATGAGGGATTAAGTCAGCTAAAGGAATGTAATGTATTGGATTTCAAGTTAAATGTTTGGGTTAATTTAGGAGGATCAGTAAGTAAGAAATTTTTCCTTGTGGAGGAAGGGAAACCAAAATATGCTTTCTCCAACCTGGAAATGAAAGGAGCCGGAAGCAGTCAGTATTTACATTTGTTAGACAATGGGTAGAGAACCTGAGACCTTTCACTGATAAGTGGGCTCAGTTTTTCTTTGTTTTTTTGATGTTGTCAGTTTTGGTCCTTACTCCTCTGAGATAGCCACTAGAAGATGTTTGTTCTGTAATACTTGTACCTTGGTGCCTCAGCCTTAAATGGGGAACAGAAGTGAAAATATTTGTGGAAACTGGCAACCTGTAGCAGTGCAAGACTGCAGGCCTGTTTTTTTTCTTTTTTGATTTTATGGCTTATATGTCTTATTAATGATGATTAGTAGAGAAGCTTATTGTCTTGTTGTTTGTTTAAAAAAGTGCTGTGATTTTGTTTTACTGTGATCTTTTAAATGTAAACCCCATAAATTTATATTATTTTTAAAATATAGCTTCTTCTCATCCTCCCTTTCACCACAATCAGTTGGTCTCCTACTCGTTTAAATACTTTCCACAGTATTACGCCCTCCCTCCTTTGGAGCATGTTTGATAAAGATTCAGAAGAGCCTGTTGCTCAGCAGCAGGAAGAGAACATGTATTTGATCAGAAGTATTAGAGTTGGAACCACAGGTGATCCTCCCAGGAAGTCAGGGTTTATTTCATTAAATCCCTTACCTGCTGAGTAGGTTTATTGGACTTACAGCTAATGGTGTAGGAGATAGATAATGTAATTGATGTTTCTAGATGAGGGTATTGCATGAATATTTTTATAAGTATGTTGTGGCATTTATTTCTTGGTGTCTTTTAATAACAGGTTACAGGCATGAGGCCTATTTAAGTATACACAAACTTTCTGTGTATACTTTCATTTATGTCTTCAAACATATTAATAACGCTTTGTAAAGGAAGTACTAGGCTTACAGGGGGCATAAATTCAGAGGGAGAAAATATAGTCTATAATCAAGAACTTGTTGAATAGAAAAGGTGAACATAGAATGGTTTTGGTTGGAGGGGATCTTAAAGATCATCTAAACATCCAAACATCATTACTGCAGGTAGTTTATTGGGAATGCCAGCTGGCAGCAGTGCTAGTAACTGTATCTGCTTCGGAGTATCTTTCAGAACTGTAGCATATGGTCTTCAAAACCAACATGCTGTATCCATTGTCATTGTGCTGTGGCATATCTTTTAAAAATATCTAATTGTAAGTGAATATATTCCAGTTTGGATCTTTCTGGAACAGAACAGGAAGAACAGTCACAAGTAAAGTTGTATTTTTTCATCAAATATTTGCAGTAAAATTGTTAATAGGAAATATTATGCGAAGACTTTAGCCATTCAGTAGTGGTACAAGAAAATAATTACTGTAGAGAATAATTTTTTATAATATAGTAAGGTTGAATTTATTTAATGTAAATATAGGAAGAAAAATTTCTTCACTCAGTGATGTAAATATTTTTAAGAATTTTATTTGCATATTAATACAGGTATATTTGTTCCAGTTCAACCAAACACTGATTACTATGTTTAAGCATGCACTGGTGTCTTTAACCTGAAAAAATGCTGAATTTTTACTTTTGCTTTAAACTTGTAAAAAAAATATCAAAGTTTAGAAAGTTAGGGACAGTAGTCTGATGGGTGAAGGACTAATTATGTATTAGAAGGACTAATAATGTAATCTGTCTATGATAGGGATTTTGCAGTAGTATTGAAGAATTTCCCAACTGAAAAGACAAAACAGCATTAATGACAGCAATGGAAAAAGCCTGTGCATCAGGTAGATGTGTTGATACTAAAAATGCACCTGGGCTCTCCAAAAACTTAGGACTCATCTGATTTACTGCTGTCAGCACTGCAAAGGATTGAGTACTTTATTATGGTTTTAAGAAAAATGAGCATGTTTTCTTCAGCAGGGCATTTCAGAAGTCTTTAATTTCACTTCTAAATGTGAAAGTGGGAGTGAAAAATGAGGACTGTACTTTGGAAAGCTTTTTAATGTCAACAATTTTATGGAAAATGTTCTGTTTCAAACAGATTTAAAAAAAATGTTTCACGTACTTTTCAGTTCTAACAAGAAGAAACTTAACCAAATGTAATTATTTTTGTTGAAAGTGCAGTTTATATTTACAAAATAATTTTGTTGAAATACTGACCAGTTGACTATGGAGGTGCTGTACTGGCTACTGGGTGAGACCTTTTTGGTGTCAGTGCTGTCTGTGGGGCTGTCTGTGTTTTAGAGTTGGAACTACAGGTGGTTCTCCCTGGACAAGGGACCTGCCACCCACAAAGCGCTTTGTCATCTGTGTGGACATCCATTTGAGCTCTTTGTGTGGTAGGAGTATCTGAGGACATTTAGGCTCTTTAGATGTATCAGGAAGAAAATCTCTGTTCATTTTTTCTCTTCTGAGTCGTTGGGGTCCATTTCCAAGGCATTTGAAACTAGTGCTCCTTACTTGAGTTTGTAATACATCAGCCCATGTTCTCTACAGGAACCAATTCCTCCTGTTGCTCTTGACTACCTGACTGGTGGTGACCAGGGTTTTTTGCTGTGCTTGCATGCAATCAGATGGCTGTGGCTAAGGTTTTTTACATCCTATATGATCTGTACTGCCTTCTGAATGCACTGGAGAAGTAGATTTGTTTTCCCATTGATATGAATTCTGGTAATGAATGTGAATTGGGAATTTCTCTGACTGGTATTAACCATTTCCGCAGTTAAAAGTTCTGCATAGCATGTAGCTTTTTTTCTATTCTCCAGTTCATACTCTGAACTGGAAGGTGCTTTTGTAGGGTTTTAAACCAATAATTTTTATAATAATTTCATTTATGAAAAATAAATCATGTCTTTTAAACAAAACCTAGATTTTCCCAAGACTATACTACTGTCATTGTAAACATTGGTAAAAGTGGTGCAGGCTAAACTATGGAATTTTATTTAATCTAAAAAGATATGCAGAAGGATTTTTAATTATATTCTTATGACTAGTGAATACAAAATATTTCTGTATTTATGTGACATAGTTGTTTTTAATCCTGTTTGCATTGCACAAAAAACTGCTTTGTATGCATAGAGCTTTTTCTTATGAGGGTCTTTAGACTGGAGAGGTCTTGAATTTTTCCCGCTGAAGCCCTGACCAGTTAATGTTTTGAAGTGCACACAGCTTAGAAATTTAAAAAGAAAAAAAAAAACCCAAACAAACAGAGAAAACACCTTAAAAGAAAGGTTTCAAAGATCAGAGTCACACTATGGGGAATGAAAATGTAATCAAGCCCTCTTGCTATGTGGACAGCTGTGATTCTTTAGTTGTAAATGGTTTGAGGTGGAGGGGCTAACTGACTTTTCCAACCGAGACTCCACTTCATGAGGGGTCACGTGAGCGTGGAGTAGAGAGACAGAATCCCCTTCCCCCCTCCCTCACCCTACTGGTCACACTGCTTTTGATACAGCCCAGATTGGCTCCTGTCCAGCCTCTCCTCCACCAACACCCCTAAGTGAAATATATTTTCCGACTTCTGAAAGTCTTTTTCTCTAGATTTGCTGTATAGTAAACTTGGTAGTTCCATCTGATATATTTTATGTGATTATTGTTTAGTGGGATTTTTTTCCTTTAGAGTTGTAGTTGAGGTACTAATTACGTACTTCATACAAAAATTTTATGGTTTTTTTTCATTATGCTGCATAAAACACTTTAATATTGTGAATGCAAGGTCTCAGAAGATGATTTTCCAAGGGATTTAGTGAACATGCTGCACAATGGAAGACTAGATTTGACCATTAACATAATTTGCTCATGTAGTATTTTTGGAGGATTCAGTTTCTAAAGTATGTCACTGAAGAACTTAAACTATTTCTTATGAGGTAGAAAATAACTCAGGCATTAGAATGAAGAAGTTTAACAGGGGAATGTTTCTGTTCTGATTTTTAAGAGAAACTCATGTACCTCTGTTCCATTCCCTGACGGTTGACAGGGAACATTTTGGTGAGAGAGAACTGCTGCTGCCTCATGCAGTGTGAGTCATTGCAGGCCAGAGAAAATGTGTTGAGATGTTGTTGTTATGTTAGCCAGCTGACTTGCTGTGAGCGCTAGTGATTAACTGTTCCTTTTGATTTAAGTGCTTAAGTACTATTAGCTTGACTCTTGGGCATGCTTCTGACCTATTCATTGCAATGTTGCCTTCTGCCCTACTTGATGATGATGAAGATGATCTTCCATCATTTTCATCAGCACTTCTTGTGCTACTGCTTTCTTCCCCTTTGTTCCTCCTTCCTTCTGTCTCTGCTTTTCTTTGTAGGGTGAACCTCTATGTTGTTGCCTGCATTCTCTGCTAAAGTTATGCTAAATGTTTCACAATTCTACCCTCATGCTTTCTCTCTAGCAAGACAAGGCTTCCTGCTGCCTGACCAGCTCTGAACTGGAATTATTGTACAACACCAAGTATGATAGCTTGTTTTTTCTTCTCTGTCTATAAAATTAAGGTGTTAATTAGTATAGCAGGCACTAAAAACTTGATTCATGTGCCCAGAGTTAACTGGTACTGTTAAATGCCATGGGGTATTGTGAGAGCTCTTAGCTAATGTCCTGCTGGCTTTCAGATGAAATTCTATTGGGCCATGGCTGGCCCATACCTGACAGTTTAACATGGATTTATTGCCTTTTAATAGCTTTGAAAATCTCAGTTAGGGCTATCACCCATGTTTAGGCATCACAGTTGAAGCCTGCTATTTTCTTCGACCAACTACTTGAAGAAAGCATAATGCTTCTGCATTCTGCACATGGAGGACTATTTGTTGATACAGATCATTCCTACACGGAGAAACTGTGTCACTTACTCCCTTTGGGGTGTGGTTTTGGCAT